CTGCGCTGGTTCTCGGCGGCCCTCCAGGCTCGGCAAGTGCCTCCCGGCCGCTGCGCCTATAGCCGCGCGAGCCCTTGCGGGGGTGCCTGGGTCGTCCCGAACGTCGGGGGGCGGCCAAGAGGGAGGGGGTGGGACTGGGGGGGGGGATACCATGGTGTGGGCCATGATATTTCCTCAGATTTCATGGCGTCTCTTCTTCTTTCATTGCAGTACCTTTTTTTTTAAGACATGCTCCGCGTGCGGATCATGTGTTACAAATAAAGGGATTTAGTGATAAACAAGAATGATGAATTCATGCATTGATTTATTAGTACATTCATCATGTATTAAGCATCCAATGCATTAAACAAACATCCTATGTATTAAAACCTGCCCTGTACGTCCCCGGGTCCCCCTCTGGGCGCACGTGCCGCCAGCCATGCTCTTCGCCCTCCCCTCTCTTTGACGCCCCCCGCTTGGCCACCCCTGGGGAACGGCCTCCGGAGACTCGAGAGTCAGGATCTGGGAGCCAGCCCAGACGGCGAGGTCCTTGCAGGAACAAGCGCCCCAGGCTCAACCTCTTCGTTCTCCCCCTCCTCTTCCTCCTTCTTCTGCTCCATCCTGCTCCCGCCTGTTCATCCTGCGCCTCCTCCTCCTCCTCCTCCTCCTCCTCCTCCACCACACCACCCCTTTTCCTTATAAATACTTTCTCCCTGCCGCACCCCCAGACGTGTCGGTAGGGCGGGCCGGGCGTTTCGCCTGAGACCTCCTCACCATTTGTTATCCTGGAGCTTGAAATTTGCAACAGTTTCACGGATGCAGGGCGCATCGTTTTGAAGCTATGGTTTTCGTTTTAGCGCCACGCACTCTCGTTTTAATGTTTGCAGCCGGATGGAAGACATGCTGTTTTCAAAATGTGGTTCGCGATGTCGGGCCGTTTTTTAATGTTGCTCTCGCCTTAGAGCCGCGCGCACTCGTCTTTAATGTTTCCAATGATGTCGAAGATGGAGGACGGGCCATTTTCAAACTGTGTCTCTCGCCCTAGCGCCGCGCACATTCGTCTTAAACGTTTGCGACCGTTTTCACGGATTCGTAGGGTTGAAGTGCCAGGACTGGTGTTCTCACGCGGTTAAGAAATGCCGGGACGGAACAGTTACGTTGATTCGCTGTGTTGAGCTCCCAAGCATTGTTCGGATTATCAGGACGCACCGGTCACGTGAGGATGACGATGACGATGATGATGACGACGACGACGACCACGACCACGACCACGACGACGACCACGACCACGACGACGACCACGACCACGAAAACGACGACCACGACCACGACCACGACGACGACGACGACGACGACGACGACGACGACGACGACGACGACGACGACGACGATGACGGCCACGAGGTCGACGACGACGACGAGGTCTGGGCCCTGGCGGGCGCGTCGCTGCCTGGCGGGCGCGGCGGCCCGTCGGCGCTGCCTGGGCAGGCGCCAGAGTCGCCGCTGTCGCCGCTGGCTCCCGCCCTCTCGAGCGCGGGCCTCCTAAGGCCCGCGTTCGGGGGCCACGCGGGGTGCTTTGGGCGCACCGTGTGATCCAGGCCTCCCAGACGGGGTCGGAACAGACGGGGTCGGAGGATGGCGCCGCATCGCCGATGCATCGCGCCGCATCCGCGATACATCGACGACGCAGCTCGATGCGGAGCCCGCTTTTCTCCATGACGATCACCGGTGCATCGTCGATGCATAGGCCATGCGGCGCGATCCTCCGACCCCATCTACTCGGACCCCACCTGATGGGCCTCTACTGAGCCGGCCCGAAGGGACGATGAGGAGAAACAGGTACCCCACACCGCTACCCTTTCCCCGTTTTCCAATTTTTGGGTCTCCTCGGAGGCCCTCGTCGCCACCGCCGGATTCGCCTCGAAATCCTGGTCAGAGCGCACCCTGGGAGAGGTCCAGGGAGTAGCGGTATTGGTACCTTTTGGTTCTCCCAGTTGGGACGCTGATGCTGGGCGGCCCCGAAGGCAACTCGATGGGCGACGGGGGTACGGTTTCGGAATTAGTCGAGCACGCGGCGAGAAAGCCGATCCCTGCCTCCCGTCGATTCAGGGGGACCGATGGTTGGCGGGGGCAGGGTTCGGATGTCGCCTCTTGCACTGGAAACCCATGTCAAGAAGCACCCTGCTTGCCCCAGGGTGCCTTGGGCATCTTGGGTTTAGATGGTTCTGCGATGGACAGCGTGACGTTCCAACACCCAAAATCCATGCACTTCCTGGGGTCTCAGGGCTGGGTTTCTTGTGGAAGGTTTCTTGTGGTCGAGCTCCTGCTGTACTGGAGCCTCGAAGCAGGCTGGGTGTCTGATGGGGGCCCAGCACCCGGGCCCCGCCGGCAGGAAGGGAGGGGGCCAGGCTCGCAGTTCTGGGTTCGAGAGGGCTGTTGGCTCTTTTCTGGATTCCCCCGGGGCCGTCCTCGGTCCCAGGGGCCGTCGAACAGCTGCTTGGCGGGCGGGCGCGTCGCTGCCTGGCGGGCGCGGCGGCCCGTCGCCGCTGCCTGGGCAGGCGCCCGCGTCGCCGCTGTCGCCGCTGGCTCCCGCCCTCTCGAGCGCGGGCCTCCTGAGGCCTGCGTTCGAGGGCCCCGTGGGGTGCTTTGGGCGCACCGTGTGATCCCGGCCTCCCAGATGGGGTCGGAGTAGACGGGGTCGGAGGATGGCGCCGCATCGCCGATGCATCGCCGATGCGGCTCGATGCGGAGTCCAATGTCCGTCACGCGGACGTCGCCGATGCGTCGCCGACGTCGCCGATGCATCGCCGGTGCATTTCCGATGCATCGACGATGCATCGCCGATATATCGCCGATGCGGCGCGATCCTCCGACCCCATCTACTTCGACCCCCTTTAGGAGGCCTCTAAACACGGATCGGGGCGCAGAGCTGCACCAGATGGAACCCAGGAGGGGTCTGGAGGCTGATCTTGAACCCCCCTCTTGACCAATACCCGTCGCTTGTTGAAAGCAGGTATTCTTGCATGCCCAGATCCCAATCTACTGCAGGCGCCCTCCTGCTTCAAGAGCCGACGTGCTTTTGCCGTGCTTTGTCATTCTCTGGGCGGGCCCGAACCCAGTCTGCTGGATCCGCTTTCCATGTCACGTGGGGCGTTCCAAAAAGGGCTTCGCCTTCGAGGATCGCAGGAGTTGTCACCTCTTCCGCCGTGGAAGGCGGCGGAAGGGCGGCGGAAGGAAAACGAGGCCAGCTTCCGGCGGGCGGAAGGGCGGCGGAAGGGCGGCGGAAGGTGGCGGAAGTAATGCGTCCCCGAGAAATGACAACGTTTTTGGGTGCAGAGCTTTCGAAATCGCCCACGTGTTCACCCTCCTCTGCCGACCGACGGTGTGCTCTCGGGGCCCAGCCAGCTCGGACCCCCCCGCCTCCAAGGCTGGGGGGCGGGCGGCTGCTCCGCGAGGCATCGCCGCCCCCGCGGCACGCCTCTCGGGCCATTTTTTGTTCTCGGTGCTCGCTGCCGCGCTCGCGCGCTCGAGCGGCAGGCCAGGCCGCTCGCCGCGCTCGCCGCGCTCGCCGCGCGCGCGCTGCGGCGTGCAATCTCCGTCCGTCGGCGTGCGGGTTCCTGCAGCTCTCGGCGGCGAGCGAGCGAGCGAGGTCGCCCGGCCTTCTGTGCGAAGTCTTCTCTGAGCCTTCCCCGAGGACGGAACAGCTCCTCAGAAGGCGCGCGAGGGCTTCCGAGGAGCCCCGTCGCCTCCTGAGAGAAGGCCTGGCCTTCCCCTCCTCGAGAAGGGGAAGGCCTTCTCAGAAGGGGAAGGCCCTCGAGGGGTGGTGTCCTCTCGCTTTCGGTCCATTCTCACACATCCCCCCCCCCCGCTCGCCGCCGAGCCTCTCCCGCCGTGGCCGCGCAGGCCCTCGTGTCACTCCTTCCCGTGCTCGGCGGGGCGCACAACAAGGGGGGGGGGGGGGCGGGGGGCGGCGAGGGGGACGGCTCCCCTCCTCCTCCTCCTTCCCTCCTCTTCCTTCCTCCTCCTCTCCTCCCTCCTCCTCCCCCCTCCTCCTTCCCTCCTCCTTCCTTCCTGTCATCCTCTCTGCCTCTTCCCTCCTCCTCCCCCTCCCCCTCCTCCCTCCCCCTCCTCCTCCTCCTCCTCTCGCCGAGAAGGTGGGGCGTCTCGGAGGGGATCTCGGGCGCTTCTGGGCAGTCCTCCTGCAAGGCAGGAGCCGCACCCCTCGCCCCCAGGCTTGAGTCGGGCATGTCCCTCTGCAAGAGGAATGTTCAGACAGACCCAAACAGTAATATGGGAACGACTTTTCGGTTCGTTGTTGGTAGTATTGAATATTTTTGGCTACTTTTAGTTGTCCTCCAAAATCCGCCTGGAGGAGGGCATGCCCGACCTAACCCCAGGCCCTTGGTGCGCACCGCCGATGTTCCCCTCCATCCGACCTCCCTCCCGCTGACAAGTAGAGCCGAGCCGCTCAGCAGAAGCAGACTGGGCTGGGTACCTGTAATTCGAGTTCGCGCTGCGACGAGCCATTCTCGCGGTCATCCTGATCTGGGGCCCTAGCAGCGGCGCTCATCAGCGCCGTTCCCCTGATTCAGCGACGCTGCCCGTCCGCTTTCTCATTACCCCTCCCCTCTCCCTAGCCCTCGCCCCACATTCGGCCGCGGAGCGGCCAAAGAAGTGTTGATGCGACGAGGCGTGTGATTGTCTGCGCCCGCGTGGGCTGAGGCCCCGCCACTGAACTGGCGAGAGTTTGTCAGCGACGCGCTGGCGTGGCGAAGGCGGGATCCTGACCTGGGGGCGACGCGCGCGACGATAAATCTTACAGTGTATGCGTCGTGTCGGGCGCTTTCTGGCCGTATCGCTCGGGGAACGATATACTACAAGACGGTTATACTATACCTTCGGGTTGGACGCGCGCCTCCGAGGAGGATACATAGTACTACCATGCCCGCGTGCGTCCCACGCTAGAGCAGCGCCACGGCGCTTGGCCACCCATCCCCGTAGCGGGACAGGCGCACCTGTTGCGGTGGCTCTCTTGTTGATCGCCCCCGCTGCAGCCGAGGCTGGAGGCCTTGGCCTCAAGCAGTTACACAGCCGGGACAAAAGTTGCTTCAATTTGCCATGATACGGTATCTCTTACCCCTCTAAATGTTTATACCATGACATGGTGACATGACACCCCAAACATAGCATGTCATTCGGCGGAGTAATTTCTGATCCACTCAATGATGACCCTATGAGTTATCGAGCGGGATGCGCCCGCGCGCGGAGTAGTTGGAGTAGATCTACTCCGAACTATTCCGCACTGATGCGCTATTGGTGAAAGCAGATTGGAAGAAACTTTCGTCACGGCGATGTATGTATGCTTGTTATATGTTGTTCGAGGCTCGCCACGCCGCTTGACGAAGAATCATTTTGAGTACTCGTCGGTCGTTGAAGGCACGTCTTTCTGGGTTCCCAGATCCTAATCCACTTGAGTTGCCCTCCTGCTTCAAGAACCGATCTGCTTTTGCCGTGCTTGGTTCTTCTCGGAGCGGGCCTGGACCCGATCTGCTTGATCCGCCGTGCGCTCCATGCTCTTACCTGCCTCTCCTGACCGGCGTGTACAGCCGCTGCTCCGATTTTCCCTGGATGTCCGTATGGGCTTCGCTCTCTGCCGCTGCCCCCCCCCCTCCTCTCGGTCAGAACTGGAGATGTCAGAGCTGTGTTTTGGAAAGGAGGAGGAGGAGGAGGAGGAGGAGGAGGAGGAGGAGGAGGAGGAGGAGGAGGAGGAAGACGGGGAGGAGGTAGGAGGAGGAGGAGGAGGAGGAGGAGGAGGAGGAGGAAGACGGGGAGGAGGAGGAGGAGGAGGAGGAGGAGGAGGAGGAGGAGGAGGAGGAAGACGGGGAGGAGGAAGACGGGAAGAGGAGGAGGAGGAGGCGGAGGAGGAGGAGGAGGAGGGGGAGGAGGAGGATCGGCCAGCCTCTTGCGATGTTGGTGTTGCTGTTGTGTGCTCTGTTTCCTTCTCGGGCACGCGCCGGGCGTAATTTACGGGGGATGTCGTGGCCTCGGGAGCGCTAGTCTGGGGAGACTCACGGGGGATCGTGTGTCCTCGGGAGTGCGAGTCTGGCGCAATTCGCAACACGGACTCGGGCTTCGGGCGCGCGTGTCTGGAGCAGTTTGCAAAAAGGATTCTGGCCTCGGGGGCGCCAGTCTTCGGCAATTCACGAAAATGGATTCTGACTTCGGGAGCGCGAATCTACCACTCTGCGCGGGATTCTGGTTTTTCGGGAGCGCGAGCCTGGCTCAAGAGTGGCGACGGGCTCCCGAGCGCGAGCCTGGCGTATAGCTTACCCTGCATGGGACAAGAATCGCCCCCTTGGAACCCGCTGGGGTGGGTGGGGGCAAGTGCCGTCGGAACGGGTGGAGGGGGGTTGGAGGAAGAGGAGGAGGATGGGGAGGCGGATGGAGTGGGGGGCAGGATTGGGTAAGCTCGGCCGGAAGGTTAGTCATCCCCCCCCGATAAGTATCCCATCCAAAGACCGAGGGATCTTGTCCCGAGGACGCGGATCTCATGAATCGTGCGTGTCCCAGGGCCCCCCCCCTGGGAGAATTCCGAGGGCCTCGGGAGGCCGTGGCGGCCAGGGTGGTCCTCGGCCTCCCCCCCTCTCGTGCGATCGGTCGCGATGTTTTGCAGCAGGAGGCATTGAGCAGAACTGCGGCCGGGCCGGGGCACGAGGTCGAGGTCGGTTCGGGGAGGGTACCCAAACGTTCTCCGTGCTTGTTACATGCTCCTGTGCATCCTGCGGGCCGGGGCCCTTGAGTGTGTTCTTCAGGTTTGCTGGTGGGGGATCTCATGTTCTCGAAGAGTGTATTTCCGTCCTGGGGCCGGCCGTGTGACACTGGGGACTGGGGACTGGAAACGTCGCTGGCACTGCGACTGGGACCGAGGAGCTCAGGGCTTGCACCTGTCGCTGAAGGCCCAGCCTGGCAACCTGGTAGCCCCGCAGGGGGGCCGGCAGATCTTCCTCTGCGAGAAGCTCAAGCACGTAGTTGGCAGAGGGACGCGTCGCTCACCGAGCGCGTTCGTCCAAAACACATGTTTGCTTCGATACAATGGGGCCTGTTTGCCTCGATGCGCTGAGTCCAGGCCGTTTGCGAGTAGCTATTTTGCGAGTAGTGGAACGCGCTTATCTAGTCGCTGAGGTTGCGGAGTCTGCGCCTTTCCCGCTGTCTCCCGTCGTCGCGCTCTTCCACGTTTCCTGTCTTGCGCAGGTGATGCTTTACGCTGTATCTTTGGGGGGGCCTAGCCTGACCTGTGAATCGCGGGTTCGATGCGAACTCGACACGGCTTCGTCGCAGACTCGACATGTATTCGACGCGGATTGGACGCTCGACGTGGATTTTGTGCGGATCTGATACGGATAGCTACACGATGGGACAGACAAGCCCCCCCCCGAAAGATGAAGCGTAATATGTTCGACCGAAGACCTCTATACTGCTGGCCAGTCCGAGCTTTGGCCACAATGGCAGAGCGCTTCCTGTCAGTTGAGAGCACACGCTTAGAAATCTGCTAGAGCCCACCATCGCTGAGTGGAGTGCGGAGAGCTGTGGTAGACTGCATCTGACTACCGACACTTAGCTCAGCCGCCGTGACGCATCCGGCATCAAAAGCAAGGAATCGATCTCGAGATCATCTTGTGCTCCGTCTTACCAATCGGCATCCGTGGCATCACCCAAACACATGTATACTTTGTGTGCGTCGGCTCACCATGGGCAACGCGCGTGCCCAGAACTCGTCCAGTATCTGCTCGTTGGCTGGCGCTTTCTGGCCACACCGGTTCGGCTGGGTAACGATATGCTATAGGATGATGCTGCTCGAGTAAGGGGTGGCGAACAGTACTGGTCTGTGCTTCTGCGTCCCAGCTTCTCTCCCGCGAGTGTCTCTGAGCGGGACGTTGCCCTGTTTTGCACAAGTCGTTCGCAGAAGCGACCTTGCGTGCACTTTGCCCCTTTGCCAAGAAACATTCTGCTTGCCTCCAGGGGGGTGCCCTGGGTTTCTTGGGTTTCGATGGTTTTGCAGTGGAAAGCGTGACGTCCCCACACCAACAAACAATTCACATCCTGAGGTCTCAGGGTTAGGTTTCCTGTGGAAGGTTCCTTGTGGTCCAGCTCCTACTGTACTCCGCTGTTCCAGAGGGGCTCAAGAATCGGCGTGTGTGTCCTCGAGGGCACCAGCCCTCCGAGGGAATCCAGCTTTTGGTACTCCAAAAGGTAGAGCTGCCTCGCATCTCTATATTTTCTTAGAACCCATTGCTAAGTCGGCCTCGCGCCATTTGAGTTCACTCGGATTCCACTTGGAATGGCAAGACGTGGTCTATTCGAAAGCCCTCCTCCGCCATGGTATTTCACGATGGCACTGGGCTCTCAGTCGGATGTTCTGCGGAATGCGGCGTTCTGGGCGTTTGAGTAACTCTTGGAGCAGCGAGCGCTGTATGCGATATGTCAATGTCTTACTCTGTGAACGGGTGGCCTACTGCTACTTGCACTATTGCCACCACTGCTGCTACTGATGCTACTACTGCTTCTTCTGCTCCTGTTCGTGCTCAAGCTTCTACACATTCTGCTACCCTCACTTCTCCTGATGCTCATTATGCCTCTCCTGCTCCCGCTCTTGCTTCCACCCTGTGCAGCTTTGATGCTCTCTCCTTCCCCGACTACCTCCGCTGCTGATGCTCCTGCTGTTGCAGCCGCCATGCCGCCGCTGTGCTGCGTCTTGCCTGGCAAGAGCTCCCAGAGCATGAGGAGGACGACGACGATGCCGACGCCGCTGACGACGAGGAGCGTCGACTTGGCTTCGCTACCCCCTCGGCGAAGAGGTCGTCTTCAGCATGACGCCCTCGTTCGGCTCCATGGCGCCGGGCGCGACGATGCGCGTCGTGGCGTCCTTCTCGCCACGCGAGGGGAAGGTGCCCCGGGGACGCGGGGAAGGCTCGTGCCGCTGGCAAACAACACCGCCCTTCAGATCCAGGCGCGGCGACAACGAAACCTCAGTCGACACAACGATTTTGTATCCCATTGGTTTCTCATCGATTTCGGCCTCTGCTGGCCTCAAGCATATCTTCAGGGCGCTCAGCTGCAAACCGTCGGGACCTCGTGGCCCGCGCGAATGGACCAAAAGCATGCCGTCGGATTTCTGGGAGGGGCGCTCTTTGCATCGGCCTTCGGCCCTGGGAGCCTCACGGATCGATCCAGCCTGGGAGATGAGGTGCTGCATCAGGATGGGGTCGGGAGTTTCGGTAGTTCTCGTGGGCGAAAAACCCGTTGACGCGCTAACGGCAACGTAGGCAACGGCGATGCAGGTTTCGGCATTGTAGGTGGGACTGGTTCGTAGGACATCGTGGCTCGTGTTTTCCTACAACTCGCTGCGTCGTTGTCGCTCGATACATTCGCCCATTCGACATGTAGGAAAGCGTGGTTTGTGATTTCCTACCATTTGTTCTGCGCGAGCTCGGTGTCACAAAAATCATATTCCCAACATCGCCGATGACCAACATCGCCGTTAGCGCGGCCTTGGAAATCGTATACGTATCCGCGACCTCGCGGGCGGGGCCCTTCGGCCTCGACCCCGCGGATATGGGGGGCGATTTTTCGCGGATGCCGCCCATAGAGGCTCCCAAGAGGTCCCCCAGAGGCCCCCAGGAGAATCCCCAAAGGTTCCAGGAGGCCCCCCAAAGGCTTTCCAGATCCCCCCCAAACGCTCCCAGGAAACCCTTAGGAGGCCTCAAGAAGCCTCCTCCTCCCCCTCCTTCTCCTTCTTTCCCTCCCTCTCCTTCTCTTTTCTATTTCTCTCCCCAGTGTTCCCCCAAGCAGGGGTTCAACAAAGGCCGGGGGAATTCATAGTCCAATAGTTAGGCCAGACGTCAGCATAACGTAGCGCATGGGCGTTTCCAAAGGCAGGGGGCCGCGGTGATTCTCCGTAGGCGTCGTAGACGGTTCAACCCTGAGGACTTACGACAGAGGACTACAGGGACTTTGAACACATTCCAACTCGTGCCTCGCGGTACGGTGGCCAATTAGACCGCTTGCTAGAATGCCCCTCCTCACCTTTTCCTTTGTCGCAAATCCTGCCCACCTGCTCTCCAAGGTCGGGGTCTGTGGTTCTACCAGGCTGGGCATTCCACGGTGAACATGCGTCGGCTCCGCCGCACGACTGGTGGTGCCCGAGGTCGCCAACGTCGCACGCCGATGCTTGCACGATCTGACCACGCCTCTCCTCTCTTGCCCCTCCTCCGCGGCCGCCCCAGAGCACGCTCTGCGCGTCCGCGCGGCCCGTCCTGGCCCGAACCAAACGCGGCGCTCCTCTCCTCCTCCTCCTCCTCCTCCTCCTCCTCCTCCTCCTCCTCCTCCTCCTCCCTCGCCTCATTCTTCCTCCCTCCATCCTCCTACTCCTCCTCCTCCACTCCCTCCTTACGTCCTCCTCCTCCTCATCTCTCCTCCTGCCTCCTCCTCCCTCCTCCTCTCCTCCTCCCCTTCTCCTCCTCTACACCCCCGCGGCCCCCAGGAAAAAAAAAACGGCTCGCGGCCTCGCGCCGGGCACCGGCTCGGCCCGCAGGAGCCCCCATCCGCAGCCCCCTCGCCCGGCCGAGACCCCTCGCCCGGCCGAGACGCGGGTGGCTCTTCCCGCCACGCCCAGAGCCGCCCAAAACCGGTCCCAGGAGATCTCCCGGGCGCTGTCCTGACTGGTCTTTTCGGGCCGGACGAAAGGGGGGGATTGGGACAGGGGGGGTTACGAAATTTGTTGCAGGCAGCTGGTTTCAGCCTCACCGAGGGGCCCCTTCCTCGGTACATAGCCGCCTCCGGCGCCGGGAGGCGCCGGGAAAATCAGCTACGTGAGCTGATTCTCAACCCCCCCCTTTGCTATCCCCCCCTTTCGCCCGACCCGATCTTTCCTGGGTCCTGGGGCCATGCTTCTGCAGACTTAAGACTACGTCTGAAACTCCCGCGGAAAAAAAACTCCCCCACAAAAACCTCCGCCTCTGGGTTTTTGTTCGTCTTCGATGGTTTCTTTGTTGAGGGCTCTGGGATCACGATGGAAAGCAGGGCTATCTCTGAACACCTCCCTCCTTCGAAGCCTTCCGGAGGCCCGGAACCAGAGGAAAAGAGCGCTGCCGGGGTGGGCCGGCGTGGTCTGCACCGGCCCTCCGCCGCTTGGCTTCGGGCGCCGGCTCGGGCCTCTGGCGGCCGGTCGGGAAGATCCCGGGCATCCCCAGAACGCCCGCGACATCAGAGGAGGAAAAGGTACCCATACCTCTACCCTCCCCTCGTTTTCCCCTTATTGGGTCTCCTGGGCCTCCGTCGTCGCCGCCGCAGGGGGTGCGGGTCGAGCCGCAGGCGTGCGGGTGGCGAGCCTGCGCGCCTGCGCGGGGGGGGGCTGTCGAGGGGCCCGCGGCGCTCGGGGCGGGGAGCGGGGAGCATATACGCAGGCTTTTGCGGCCTCTCGGGGGGGCCCCACGACTGAAGGCCAGGGCGGTCACCCCAAAACTCAGAGCAGGAAAAGGCACCGATGCCGCTGCCCTTCCCTCGTTTTCCCCTTTTTGGGCCTCCTGGGAGGCCCGCGTTGCCACCGCTGGATTCGCCTCGAAATCCTGGTCAGAACGCACCCCAGGAGAGGTCCAGGGAGTAGCGGTATCGGTACCTTGAAGTCTCCCCACGACAAGGCGCAGCTGTCGGGGGCGGGAAAGAGGGGGGTGATGGCTAGGGGGGGTGGATAGCATGGCGTGGGCCACGATATTTCCCCAGATCTCATGGCGCCTTTTCTTTTTCCATGACGTCCCTGGGCCCCCCCCTGGGCCGCGCACATGCCGCTGGCCATGATTTGCGCCACCTCCTCTTGGATGCCCCCTTCTTGGCCGCCCCCGAAGCTGGATGAGAACCACCCTAGGTCCTGAAAACCTTGTCGAACACCTCAGCACTTTTGGATGACCGCGGGGGCTCTCTAAGGGAACAGGAGGAGCGAAGCAGATGCTAAGGTGGGTTATAGATCTGGCCACCCCTGGCTCTTAAGTAGGTTAGACATGTCCCAAGTGGCTGAGGGGGTCGAAGATCACCTCGCTAAGTTGGCTCCGCTCATTTCCTCCAGATCGTTGACCACAATCAGCCACCTGGGGCATTTGTGACCCATGTGCCGATTTAAACATTTTTACAGGGCCGGGTACCCCCCCACACCGAACGAATTTCGACCGCCCCAGGCGCCCTATACGGCCCAAAAGATGTGCAATACGGTTTCAAGACGGCCCAAGAGCGCGCCAAGACGGCCTCATATGGCTCCACGACAATTCAAGAGACTCCCCAAACGCCCAAAAAGGCCCCCAAGTAGCTCCAAGATGGTCCAAGAGGCTCCCCCAAGACGCCCCGAAAAGCGCCCAGAGAACGCCAACACAAGCCCAAATCGTTCCATTCCTTGAGTAAAACGTGCATGTTCAGCCATACTCGTTTTTTTCTTGTCCATCACGGTCAACGAGGCCCCCCAAGTCGCCCCAAAACGGATCCAGAGGCCCCCACAAAGCCCCAAGATGGCCCCCAAAATGCCCCAGAGAGTCCCACGACGGCCCAAGGGAGCCCCGAGACGCACTAAGACAGCCCATAGAGGCTCACAGGAAAGCCCCAAGACAGTCCCTCCGTAGCAAGTTTGGCTCAAGATTTACGGGGCCAGAGAAGTGCGGGTGTTTACTACTCGCAGTGAAGCTCGCCCCACTTGGCTCGCATACATCCGTTCCGCGACTGTCCATGGCTGCGTGCCCCTTCAGCAGCACCACCGCTTTGTGGAGCGTGGGCACGGCTGGCAGTGATTATTCTGATTGCTTCGTGGGTTTCGAGAACGCTCCAGCCAGCTTCACGTCGGCTTTGGAAAGCTTCCCGACAGACGACGCGTTGCCGACGGTAGTCTCCACGGACTGCTTTGCCGGGAAGGTGGATGTTCAGTCACCTCCTGTCCCTTCTGACGTGGCGAAGCCGTCTGACATCAGCTTGTTGGCTCTTGCGGCCCTTACAGACGACCTCCTGATCAGGGTGGAAACCGACGTCGTCCCTCACGAGCTGCAGAAATTCGAAGGCGAACAGGCCTTTGCGACACACCTGCTGGAGGCGGAAGCCTGCAGCGGCGGGGACTGGCAGCGGTGGCGCGAGCGCCGCGAGGATCGGCGGGTCCACTTGGCGGGCAGGCGCCGCGAGCGCCTCGGGGAGTTCGCCAGCAAAAGCCACACAAGTTTCTGCATTGCGCTCTGCAGCAGCGACTGTCGCCACGGCCTGCCCGCCTCGAGAGCGGCTGCCGCCACCATTCCACCACTAGCCGCCACGCTGCGTGCGGCCCCACCGCTCGTGGACTCGAGACGTTGTTCATGACCACGCTGCGTGGACTCCCGATGTTGGCAGGAAGACCGTGTACGTGCATGCATCTAAGGCATCAGTGTTGTCAGTGCCAGCATCTTGTCGAATGTGGTGAGCAGTGCAGAGGGGGTCACCAAGCCAAGTCTTAATGCTCCTGCTGATTTAGGGCGTACGCGGTGTGCTCCGACTTGGATGGGTGCACATGCGGAAATAGTGCAATCAGCTTTGAGCATTGTCGTGTAGTAGATACGATCAGTATCAGGAGGCGAATGTCTACTGCGGCCTCCAGCTCTCACTGGTAATATCTTTGTCGCTCCTTCCCCGTCTCTCGTCCTTGTTATGTCTCTGCGCCAGTTTGCCCGAGCAGTCTAGCGATGAGGCGACTCTGCCCTGTGCTGCTCTCGTGCCACTTCGGACTGAAAGCTCGACGATGCCGCTTCTCGAAGCAGGCAGAGCGCGCTCGACAGAAGCGGAGTGGATTTAGCGCCGTTGACGGGTTGTCATAGGTAACGCTGAAGGCGCAGGCTGATTGGCCAGGGTCTTCCATCCCTGACCTAGGCCAGGGGCCAGGGGACGATGC